TTATTAAAACTGTGACTATTGAATAATTAATTAGTTGGTTAAAAATACATTAGAAGGGATAACTCCCTTTGTTCTCTGTTAGGCCACTGCTTGAATATAAAGAGTGTTTACTTGTTACGGGAAGAACAAAGTTAAACAAAAAAATAAATTTGTTATATGAAAAACCCCATTTCATTCTTCTGGTCGTTGGAGTCCTCATGCAAAGATGCGAGGGCTATTATGTACATTTCCAGCGTTCCAGGCAACATGAAAGTAAATTGTAATAATCCAGCATACAAACCTCATTTAATGCTCTCCTAATAAGTCATGCCAGTGATTAAACACTGTGATTTTAATCTTGGCATTTTAGTAACCCAATAAGATAGATGAAAAGGCAGTAACAAATTAGATTATTTAATCATATTTCATTCTAACTAAGAAGGTATTCTCTGCAATGTGTTTTTGTTTTGAAGGCTATCATACGTAGTATAATGCTTAAAACGCTCTAATTAAACAGTCTTTCTTCTCTTCTCTTTATTGTAATCTGTTTTCCATGACCTTTTAAAAAAAAAAAAATTTTAACCCAAAGTCAAATCATCTCCACAAACAAACACACAATTTTATATTGCTTTCTTGCTTTTGGGGGGAACATCGAAGTAATCTCCACCTTCCTTCTTGTCTGAAACTGTACATTATGTAGCCATTGGAAAGAAATGGCAGCCACTCATTGGGTCTCTGTGGTTTTGGGCGGACGAATGGGTGAGAGCAATGGAAGGGCACTGTCCCTGAGGAAACAGGCTGGGCCCCCATGCCTGAGCCAAGATGCAGAGGTGATGGGACCGCAGTTGTGCCCTGGCAGCCCAGACAGCCCTCTGCAGATGGGGCATCTCTGGTCCCTAGGCTCAAGTGAGTGTGACTTAGTTCAGAGGGTCACAGGCATATTTCTATGCTCTTGGGAGACAACATAAAAGGCCTGGAATCTCTGTACTTGGAACTGTTCTGTTTCAGTGTCCTTTCAAGAATTCTTCTTGTTTTGGTTTTTCTCTCCTTGGTTTGTGCCGTCCTTCAATTATTGAGTCTTGTCCAGCCCCAGAACAGAGAGGGCAGGGAAAGCTCCCTGCAGAGGAAGTCATGGGAAGCCAACAGCAATCTTCAAATTGTGTATCTACTAAAAATATAAACCAAGAAAGAGACACCTATGATTTTTTTTCCTGGTGCTACATAATCTTCAAATGAAGATTTTTTGAAAGTTTGACAAATATTTACCGGATCAAGTTTATGATGGTTTGTGAGTTAATATATGTCATTTACATGGGAAATTGTGTGGCTGCCTCCTCACAACTCCCACCGCCTTTCCTTACGGTAGAATTTCCCTCTCTGGACATAATTTTGAATGGCTCTTGCACACAGCAATGCACACACATCTGCCTATTAAATATAAGGAGATTACCTTTCCCTCTCAATCTGCTTTAAAATAAAACAAAACAAAACAAAACAAAAACTCTGACAAATGATCTAGCTTCTGGGAATTTGGAAGTGACTCTGGTTAGGTAATGTTAAAAGCAGCTCTCTTGAAAAACGATAATTTATATATCTTTACATCCGTGTCCTGTGGCACTGGAGCCATTGGAGTTCAAGGTTGAGTGCTCAGCCTTGGTGGCTTAGAAACTAATTTATGTCAGGCTTCAGCCCTAGAAGCATGTCATGCTAGCCAACTCCCGGGAGCCTGATGTGGAAACAATTAATCAGTGATCAACGTCCGGGAAGAAACGGAGCAGCCAGGAAAGCAGAACACCATGCAGACCTCTCTTCACCGAGTTTAGAACAGGGACATCAGCACTCTCTCTGTTTATGAGCGTCAGTGCCGGTGGTCGGCAGCAGCCCTGTGCGGGAGCTATCATTGTTCCATTTCTGTGTTTATCGGGGAACTTCCTGATGCCTGAATCCAAATCCAGTTCCCTCAGAACTCTTGTCTCTAATTACGGAGCCCTTGTTCTTAGCACCTTATGTGGTCTTACGATTTTACTAAGAAGGGCCTGGGGAGTCCGAGAAGATGCTTCAGGAACACTGTCAGGCAGGAGAGCAAAGCATAAGATTCTCTTTGGAAAGAGGGTTCCAACAGTTCAGTGTTTGAAAATCATTTAATATGCTGTTTATGCCATCCCTAATATGCATGTGTGCATATGAGTCCATATGGTTGTGTTGTATATGTATGTAGATTAGGAGTGGAGCATGTTAGCATAGTGTAGGATATATATGGCATTCTTAGATACCAGCTCACTACATCAGGCTTTACTCATACCCACTTGCCAAGGCCCCTACAAGGTAGGTGTCTCCCCTGTGGGATCTTTAAGGACAAGGACAGGACAGGTGTGGTGGCTGAGGTTGCACCTGAGCCCTCCCATGGGCCACTGCTCTAGGGGGTCTGTCTCACCTGTCTCCAGAATTCCTAATGACCCCTCCCTGGGTAACCCAGACTGAATATTTTGCTGTTCCTGTTCTGGGAATGGCCAGTTTCTTTCTTTGGGGCAGTGATGAACTTGCAGTTTTCTTATTGGTACTCCAGTCTGAAGGCAGGTCCCACCTCTGTGTTTAGAACTAGATGACCCAGTATCTCCTAAGCATTGTCTCTCTGGAAGTGACGTGTGATTATGACATTCTCGGCATGGGTTACGTTGCCTGGCTTCACCTCCAGGAGGAATCAGCCCTCTTCTCTGTGTTGCTGCTCCCTGGTGCTCCTGCCAGGGACGATGTGAGCAGGCCTGGATTCCTTCTCAGGGCGATGCTTTTCACAGTTCTCTTCGGAAACGGGTCCCGTGAACGTGAAGGCCTGGGTGCGGACATCAGACGTCCAGATTTGAGAAAACCGCTAGCCCTGCCTGGCTTCCTTGCATCTTTGGGTGGTGACTGCCTAGCTCCCACCTCTATAATTTTCATGCTATTCTAGGTGCGGATCCCGCCCCCACTCCCACCCCCCCACCATGTGTGCTTCTTCAGAGTGGAATCTAGCCTCTACAATATTCTTACTACTCTTCTTAATTTTGGAATTTCTAAAAAGTTTTAATTTTCGTCTACACTGAAAAACAACACAAGTAAGAGATGCTTTTGCCTTCACTGATGTTTGGTTCAGATTGTTCAGACCTAGGAGATGTCACTTCATGGATTTCTTGAGATGTCTTCTTTTCTACATTTCTGCTGCACCAGTCTCATTCTATGTCTACAAATAAGTTTATACTTCGTAATAATTATTTCAAACCAGTTTGGAAGGCTGATTTTCCTTTCTGGTAGAAAATGAGTAGTGGGATGGGAACATCCCCTGAGTTCTAAAGTGACAGCATGTCTAAATGTAGCTTAGAATGTAACAAGGGCGAACTTGCTTTGTGGTGAAGAGCTAACATAGGATACACTAATAGGTGACACAGATTTTTGTTTAAAGTAGAAGTAACTTTACTAATTTCTGAGTGGGTATGGACAACCTCAAGTTGTTTTGAAAAAAAAAGCTTTTTCCCCCCCTGCTGGGGAGTTTTCACTCTTCTTTCATGTAAATTTAGAGAACTGGATTTTTATTTTACTTCACCAAAAGTGGCATCTGAATAACAATAAAAAGCCTCCTTTTTTTTCTTTTCTTTTTTTTTTTTTAGTTCAAAATGAAAAAGAGAATAACAAGGAGCGAGCGAGAGAAAAATCTCCCCCCCTCCCCAATATTCCAGCCTCTTTTATTTTCTACTGAGAACAAATTCACTATCTGATCTCGGTTTCATTTATTTCCGGGCCTGTGCTGTGCACTTGGTGGAGCCGGCTTCTCCGGAGATTGCGCTCTGACAGGGTGATAGGGGCCAGAGCCCTGCCGTCAATATGCACTTTGCCTTGAGAGGCGTGATGAGAAAACACGTTCCCCCTCCCTTTCATTTTTACACGTAAAGCCAGTGGCATAAGAGGAATCTGCCGTTCTCCGTAGATCCGTCTCTATCTCGGCTTCTCCTTTTTGTGGCCGGGCCCTCCTCAATGGGAAAATGGAGAGCGCCAGTGTTGAGCCTGTCCGGCCAGTTCACTGGATTATCCACACAAAATGCTTCCCATTGAAGGAGGAACAAGGCAGGGAGGGTGTTGGCCATTCCGCTGATCTTCAGAAATGCCTCTTGCAGGGGCTTCAGGGACGGCTGTGGGGAAGCAGGATCAGGAGGGGATCCGGGTACGGTGGCAGCAAGGTGTGTTCGGGATTTTATTCTCATCCGCCAAGCGTCCAACCTGCTTTAGCGCCCCAAAACCAAAGCATGAGCTTGATCACAATCTCATTCTCTCCCGACTATGCAACCCCAGGAGCACTTCATTACTGACTGTTTTCCTGAATGTGGCTGGTCAGGATGCCATGCAAAAAGGGAGTGTGAGAGGAAGCTGGCTCTCCCCGCTGCCTTGCAGAGAGGAGCTGCCCTCAGCAAGGGAAGCCCAGATCTGTGAGGCTGGGTTCATTCAGATGCAAGACTTCCCAGTAAAGCCGGAGCAGGAATATGTGGAGTGTCTGATTTCACATTTTTCAGACTTTTTTGCAGTTAGTCACCTTTCTTATTGGTGGGCAGCTCTGCCATGTGCGTGCTCAGATTTCCAGTCTAGACACATTTGCTTTCTTCTCAATGCAGCACCGTGATGAGGAGAGGTGTTTTCAGTGGTGAAAGGAATGATCAGGTCAAATTGAAAGTATGGTCTCAGAAGCTGCTTTAAGCTCAGATGCTGGTTGTTTGGAATTTCTCTTTGTGAAAGCCAGAGGCAGACCTTTGCTTTTCTATATTCAGTGTCATCGAATTTTTCAACGGTCGATTTTCTTTGCCCAAATAATCCTATAGACTACCTGCATCATGTCACCGTGACTTTAAGGTAAAAGAAATAATATATTCTCGATATTTTTTTCCCCCCGTAGACACCTTGAGTTCACTTAAAATCTTATGTCTTCTCACAGACAGCCTCTGCCTGTGGCGACATTTGTTTTATGCCTACATCTTGTACCCGGTGTTCTTTCTCCCCAGGCCTTCTGCCTTATCGAGTAGCCCAACGTATTCGGACCTGCCCTTCATCAGGATCTCCCCGCACCGGAACCCTGCCGCCGCCTCCGAGTCCCCCTTCAGCCCTCCGCATCCCTACATCAACCCCTACATGGACTACATCCGCTCCCTGCACAGCAGCCCGTCCCTGTCCATGATCTCCGCGGCCCGGGGGCTGAGTCCCACAGATGGTAAGTCTCAGACCAACCGACCCATTCTGCCTCTACCCATCACGCCACCTTCTCCCCCCCCCCCCACCTCCCCTGGGGCATGGTGTCGAGTAGTGTTGTTGATTGTTTCCCACATGCCAGACACTAGGCTGAGTGCTTTACGTTCATGCTTTCCTGTCAACGTGGAGACGCCTCCATCAGGGTGGGGTTATTATCTCCATTTTCAGGTAAAGATAGCAATGTGCAGAGGGGCCCAATAGTTTGCAGCCTGGTGCACTGGCATAGATGACAGAGGTGCAGCATCCTTGCTCTTATCCACCTTTCTGTTTTGCGTCTCGACAGAAGTTTAGATTGGCCCTGTGCGCATTCTTACAGTGAGCATGTGTAGGAACTGGTACTCACCATCCAGTGTTTGCTTTTCTGTTCTGCAGTACATTTATACAGATGTGTGTCTACTCCAGCGGCTCCTCTCAAACTCCAGTGTGCATATGGATCTCTTGGGGATGGGGACAAAATGTGATTCTTTGTTGGGCGGGTCCAGGAGTGGCCGGAGATTCTGCTCGTCTGAAAAGCTCTCAGGCTATGCCAGTGCTGCTGAGAATTTGATGGTTCAGAACTGATGCTGCCCTCTATCCTTGATGGTGCCAAACAGAAACTGGAAGAGGGATATGGTGGGAACAGATAAGAACGTTGACCTTAATTCGGTAATACCTGACGGTCATGTTAAGCTCTCTCAAGGATCAAATTCTAGTTGGTTCGGTTAGCCTCCAAATTAATTATGTTGACATGAGTCTTTTTAATTGGACTTGTGTATTCTGCACCTGTCAAGTTCTAAACCATTTCTCTGATTCAGGAAGAACATGTTCTATCGCATGCACACCTATACAAACTCACTTGCCCACAATTGCCAGAACCTGGGTTAAGGTCCAGAATTGCATACGCCTTATTGATTGCAGGTGGTAGGTTGTGAGTTCTCTGCAGCAGGTCACAAATCCCTGGTGCTTGATGGGGGGCTCAGCGAAACACAGTGTGCTCCAATACACTGAGCAGCAGCATCTCTACGCAGACCACTCTCCGAGGCTGTCTGTGTGTGTGTGGTGGGAATAGTGTGTGGGAAAGCCTCACGAGGTTGTTCAGTAAACATCTACTCAGTTGTGCTTCCAGGAGTAGCAGTGCTCCAGGAACAGCTGCTGGCTCCTTGTAAGGCACCTAAAGAGAATGAGTTTTGCCATTTGGACAAGATTCACCTTTTTTTTTTTCTTTCCAGTTTTATTGAAATATTAGAGGCCAGGTGCATGAAATTTATGCATGGGGTGCAGAGGATGGTGTGTCCCTCAACCCAGCCTGCACCCTCTCCAATCTGGGACTTCTGGCTCCCAACCGCTCACCTACCTGCCTGATTACTCCAAACTGCTTCTGCCTGCCAGCCTGATTACCCCCTAACTACTCCCCTGCCAGCCTGATAGTTGCCTAACTGCTCCCCTGCTGGCCGGATTGCCCCTAACTGCCCTCCCCTGCAGGCATAGTTCCCCCCAACTGCCCTCCCCTTCATGTATAATGTGAAGTGATTACCTCAGTAAGTTTAGTTAACATACATTTTCTCATATAGATAGAAAAAGGGGAAAATGTTATGTCCCCTGTGATGAGACAGTTTAGGATTTAATATCTTAGCAATTTTCAAATACACCATATAGCAGTGGTTATTATGTGCATAATATTGCACATCTCTACTTCTTATTTCTCTTATAATTGGAAGTTTATAAGATTTATATTTTAAAAATAAAGCCATCAGAGAGTCAAACACAATCTACTGCTTGGGATTTGCTTTTAAAATGGGGGAAATGGAAAGTTACCTCCATGGAGTACTTGGGAATTTTTGGAAATGACTACCAAAGAGACCAGAGGTTGAGGAGGGGAAGGGAGGTCAGCTCACAGTGGACTTGAAGTTGCGCCTGGCTTGTGGAAATTTAGTTGAGTCATGAGAAATTGGACCTCTAGTTAAAGGGTCTTAACCTCTGCTACCCATACTATTTCATGGTAAGTGTGAATAAGACATATTTGATTGGTTGTCCTACCTAACTCTTCTTGCCTCAAGAGTCCAATAATATCCAATAAAATAAAGTCAAGTCACTAATATTTCCTGTAGTCTAAGAAGTTTTAATATGTGTCATGTCTTTATTATATATAAAAAGTTTATGAGCACACCATCAGTAGATGAGTGGATAAGAAAGCTGTGGTACATTTATACCATGGAATACTATGCAGCAGTGAAAAATAAAAAATCTTAGCTTTTGGGACAGCATGTGGGGACCTGGATAGTATCACGTTAAGTGAAATAAGTCAGTCAGAGAAAGTCAATTATCACATGATCTCACTCATGTGAAATCTAATTAATAAAATAAATTGATAAAGGGAGTGGGTCCAGAGACATGGAAGCATGGAACAGAGTGTGGAATCTCAGAGGGAAGGCGGGGGAGGAAGGCTGGATAGGAGGTGATCAACCAAAGACCTTGTTTGCATATATGCATAACTCATGGACACAGACAGTGGGGTGGTGAGGGGCTGGGACTGGGGGAGGGGCGGGAGTGGGCTGGAGAGGGTCGATGGGGCAAAAAGGGGATATAGGTAATACTTTCAGCAATAAAGATTTTAAAAGAAAGTCTGCGGGCACAAATGTGAAGCACAAAGCTATTTATAGAGTGCCAGTTTTTCTACATAATAATTGCAACACTAACTTTTAGTGATGGAATGCTATGTGCTAATAGGCGCATACATGCATCCCTGCATTCATGTTCCCAACAACCTCATGGAGCAGCCAGAGGCAGAGCTGGCGTTTGCATCCAGATCCTCACGAATCTGGAGACCACCCTCAGAACCTCTGCGGTACCCGTCAGGTTTGCCATAAATTGGCAGGTGGACACTGATCATTATCCCACTCTTACAGAGCTGACTCTTGCCAGTAAATTGCTCCAGATTGGTAGGTATATTTTCTTTTTTATTTTGTAATGAAAAAAAAAAGAGCTTTTAAATTATAGAACACAAAATTGCAGCTTACCATTCAGTCATGTGTTATTAAAGCTGTGCAGCCTTTCCCCTGGTAAGTGCGGGGTCCTCCAGGTAGTGAGAGCTGACTCAGACATGCCTGTCAGGAAGCTTAGAGAAGTATGTTAAGTATGTCTGGGAAGAAATCATAGATGTCTAAGTTGTCAGCTACTGTAAGGAATGTGAACACACTGGGATTTTTATATAAGAAACAGTTTCATTTTGTAAGGCAGAGGTGGGAATGCATTATGTGCATACATACATTTTAATCATTTTAAGTTCTTGAAGATTTCTTTAAACTGTGAGGGTACAAGAAATAATGTTTCTCCCACCTTCTAAGTTCTTCTGGCTGGCTGGTCATTGATAAGAGACAGGTTAACAGGAGAAAATGCCCCAATTTTATTACGGATATACATGCAGAGGTGCCATAAAAATATGGAACCTGAAGATGTATTTGGGGTGTCTATGGCCTTCTGGACAGAGGAGAGGGGTTTCAAAGGGACAGCAGGCAGTGGACAGCAGACAGGTGAGAAAGAGCAAATGTGCTAAACAAATTCTTGCTGGGCCACCTGGAAACAATTGGACACACAGGGATATCCAAAAAAAAGAGAGATTTTTTTAGATTTCACTCTGTCTGCCACACTTAGTTTACATTATGATGTTAAATGATGCTCCCTTCTTTTTTTTATGTCTCAGATAGAGTTGGCATTCAATATGATTGTATGTTAATTTCAGATGTACAGCCCATGGGTCAGGCAGTTGAATAATTTACAAAGTGATCCCCTGATAATTCTGGTACCCAGATGTTCCTTTCTTGTAAACAGGGCTTTGTGTGTGTGTGTGTGTGTGTGTGTGTGTGTGTGTGTGTGTGTCTGAATTCCTGTAGGTGTGTAAGGAAGAGAGTCAGACGTTCTTTCTGAGTCTTTCATGCCTTAAAATCAATACTCCAACATACATCTTTTTTGGGATGGCAGAACTTTGGTCTCTTCAACACTAACTGCAAATATTTTACAATGTATTTTTATTTTCTCTATTCTTTTCCTTCGGTTTTCTTTCCGAATAAGAGATGTCTGGTGGACGTAAGTGAAAGCACACTTTGAGTCAAAGGAATCTTACTAGACTGAACCAGCCATCACAGGAGTTGTTGATGTGGGCTGCATAACAAGTGGACTGTTGACCTTCTTTCAACAAGTCCCCATCCTTTTCTCCCTCTTCCCTTCCAGCGCCCCACGCGGGAGTCAGCCCCGCAGAATACTACCATCAGATGGCTCTGTTAGCTGGCCAGCGCAGCCCCTACGCAGACATCCTGCCCACGGCGGCCACCACCGGCGCGGGGGCCATCCACATGGAGTACTTCCATGCCATGGACAGTAAGTGATGGGGCCGCTTTCTGTAGGGGGGTTGGGGGGCAGGGACACGCAGATGCTAACTCATGCACTGAAGAGGAAGACACAGAGATTAGGCAATTGTCTAACTTGACAAACCAGAGAAAGAGGAGGTTCTGTTGGTGTTTTAGGAAGCTGCCAGATAACTGGGCCGCCCCAGGAATCCTTGTCTAACTCAGAACGAACTGGGAGGTGCAGGCGATTGTGATTCGGCAGATAAACAAAACACTTCTCTGTCTCGTCTTGGAAACCTGTTTGATTACATGAGTGTACATTGCCTAGTCATTCCTTGGTTTTATAGATTTTATGGCCTTAAAAGTTAATTTTCCAAAAGACCTGTACTTGGTTTGACTTTTTTTTTTTTTTCATTTGATTTGCCTCATATGTTTTCTTTATATTAAAACTAACATTTCACTAAAACCTTTTATCTAGGAAAAATAAAAAGCATTTCCAAATTAGAAGCCTAGTTTTGGTACACAGCAGCGGAAGAAAATGGGATCATTGGATGCATTTTGTATCAGTTGTTTTGGGGATCTTATGATGATTTCTCTGGGTCACTGACCAAGATGGGTAGGAAAAGGAGGCTATGGCTGTGACTTTTCAGATCATCCAGGAGTTCTCGGCTATGCAGATTCTTTGAGTTGACATCCATTTATTAGGTGGCAGGAAGTGACTTGGAAGCACCATCCAGGGGGTCATCCATGAAAGCTACTACCCTTTGAATATGACACTAATATGACTTTGAGGAAAGCATATGCTTGAGATTTTGTTTATACTCCCTAGTAGCAGTGATTCACTTCTTTTCTATATCTTTTATTGATTTCAGTGAGGAAGGGAGAAGGAAATAGAGATAGAAACTTGGATGATGAGAATCATTGATTGGCTGCCTCCTGTAGGCCCCCCTACTGGGGATCAAGCCCACAACCTGGGCATGTGCCCTGGGACCCTTCAGTCCTCAGGCCAATGCTCTATCCACTGAGCCCAACCAGCTAGGACAACTTGTGTTTTTCCATCACAGTCTATTTGTATTCTTTTGTGAAAAGGGCATACATTTGTCAACTTAGGCACTAGTTAGTAATTCAGTCCCTAGGTCTGGAGAAGGTCCGGGTAGAATCTATAACTCAATCTTACCATGATGGACTAACTTGGCTATATTACATAGTAACCTACGCTTGCACAAGTTTCCCTTGGAGAGTTTATTACCTCACACAAAGTGAAAGAACTGCATCACATGTTCTGCAGGGCCTTTGTTGTTCTGCTCTGTAGAGTGGAGAGCTTCAATTTCGGATTCATCATAACCACTTTTCAATTAGGGACTGTTGAAAAAAAAAGTTTGGCGTTGTTATTATGCAAATTCGTTATTTTAAATCTGCAAATAATTAAAATAATACAGAATCCTTGGAAGGTCAGCCCATATATTGCCTTCTTTATTTGATGAGAATCTGTTTAGTCAGACAGTGGTGGTTTTTATCTAAATAAAGGATGAAGCTATCCTTTTACTTTGTAAAAACGAATTAAGGGATTTTAATTTGCCAAGTATATGGTAAATTGATTATCATTAAGTAGGAATTTAGATGTCCTATCATTCATCATATAAAAAGAAAACTCCTTTTTCTTTGTCAGAATATTTTATTAGAATGGAGAAACAAAACAATTAAGAGAAAGCCAAATCTGTTGGAACAATAAGAATGCTCGAGCTTGTATTTAAGAAGGAAATGGTTTGGCCGGTGAAGACCTGGACCTGTTCTCTTTCAGCTGTTTTGAAAGTGCTCACCTTGTCTCTTCTTCCCTTCCACAGAGGGTCCCAGATCACTGCCTCACAGTGCTGACTTTATCTTGCTTTGCTCGGTTATTAGGGCATTGAGAAAAGCATAATGAAGGGGTTGGGAAGTGCATACAGTACTAGATTCTTTCTCTCTAAAATACTTGAAATAACATTTGGTTAAACAGAGCATAAGAAGTGTACCCAGGAGTTAGCAGACTTTTCCAATAGCGAAGTTAAACCATTTAAAAAAATTTTGTTAAATATATTTCTTTATTGATTTCAGAGAGAAAGGAAGATGTAGAGAGATATAGAAACATCAGTGATGAGAAAAAATCACCAATCGGTTACCTTCATGTCCCCCACTGGGGACTGAGCCTGCAACCCAGGCACATGTCCTTGGCCGGAATCGAACCTGAGACCCCTCAATCTGCAGGCCAACACTCTGTCCACTGAGCCAAACTGGTCAGGGCCCATTTAAAACTTGCAGTGAAAGCACAGCTGCAGTAGCAAAGCCAAACTGGGATCCAGCAGGTCATGCAGGCCCTTTGTCACAGATCTGGACTCCTCGGTTGGCAAAAATCACAAGACTGTTTTCAGATGAGCAGCTGATTTTTTTAAAAATACATTTTTATTGATTTCTGAGAGGAAGGAGAGGGCGAGAGAGATAGAAACATCAATGATAAGAGAGAATCATTGATTGGCTGCCTCCTGCATTGCCCCCTACTGGGGATCGAGCCTGCAACCTGGCGTGGGCCCTTGACTGGAATTGAACCCGGGACCCTTCAGTGTGCAGGCCAACGTTCTATCCACTGAGTCAAACCCACTAGGGCAACACCTGATTTTTAAATGTGCCAATAGTGGGCATAGCTGGGTTCCAGCCAGCTTCAGTATAGAGCATTTTTGTGTTGCATTCTAGAATGAAGGCTGTTTTAATGGCTCTCATTCTACCTTTTGAGAGCTGAGTGACCTTAAAGGACAGGAGAGCGAGAGGTATCCCTACAAGGAACATGTTAGAGATGAGGACACCTGAAAAACAATACTGTTGATATTGGCGAAAACTGACTTATATTCCGTCTTGGAGGGAAAAACAGATTTCCTGGACCAGCCAGGCCGAGAGCAACCCCAGGGTCCTTGAAGGGATGAAGTCAGGCTCCGCCTGAGTCTGTCTGGCTTGGGAAGGTGTGAAGGGAATATAAGGACATTAGAGTTTTATAGCGTCAGCTGGTCTCCTTAAGTAGTTAGTGATTTAAATAATTAAAGGCATTTTAGAGATCAGCTCTTTCTAAAATGTCCTGTTACTTCTAAGTGTGCCATTGATCCCTGAGTCCCAGTAAGTCCAAGTGAGAAGGTTATCGTTGAGGATTGTCTGGAAGTTGACTTTACGTCCAGTTTGTCCTCGGAAATTTTTTGGAAGTGAAATGTATTTCTTCATTGAAAAATTTCTATATGATGAAATTAGCCTCTGGTAGTAAATGTTAAACATCTATATGTAAGGCAGATGCCATAATAAAACACTAAAAGGTATGTACATATTTGGGATTACTATTTTTGTACTAATGTGCCCTGAATCAGGTAATGAATCTATTCTAAATGAAGAAACTCAATTTTAAATATGCCTGAAAGAAAAATTTGAGTAGGTACCACATTTGTCATTTGAGTTGGTTTTCCAGTTTTATACTTGGGTGGTGGTACTAACTTACTAAGTTCCAGTTTGTGATTTATTTTTTGTTTACTGTAAAATATATCTCTATTTCTATAATATCTGTAGGGCCTTTTTATTCATCTATTCTATGTTATTGCATTAAAGCATGTTGGATTGTGGTCTTGTGTCAAGGTCCATCTCTGATGAGGAAAATACTCCATTGGGTTTTCCAGAGACCAAGTGCCTAGACTCCTTTATATAAAGAAGACTTAGCTTTTACTTATGTTTTCATAAGGAGGGTGTCATAAAATTGCCTTGTCCATCTAACTAGGAATCTCCATGCTATGACATAGAAATCCTCCATTGTTAGTTCAAAGTAATCATGTTTTATTTGCCATTATCTCCTGATCTTATGTTTTCTTTCTTTCATTAAACTTTATTTTGATGACACTGTAATATAAATGTAACCTTAGAAAAGGCGGGAGCGGGTCTGTGAACCACATGCATAGCTATGCCCTGAGTTTTAGATCTTGAATATCTACCAAGCTGAAGGTAAATGGGCATTTATTTTTTTTTATCTCTCCAGTTAAGAAGGATTAACAAGTTGGCATGCCTTTACATTGTGACTTGTTCACCTACAGATTAGAATTTCATTGGTGGGATCTTTTTGAAGGTGAAACATTCTAATGTAGATAATTAATAAGTCCAGAGAATTAAAATAGACTTATCAAATCTCATTATAATGCCTACTGGGGTTGTACAGACAAACTACATCCCCAAATTTTAAACGTTTCTTGGGACTCATGTTGTTGTTAGGCTATAGGGAGTTTAGGGCAGGGTTCCTCGATTTTAGCACTCTTGAGGCCAGACAGTTTATTGTGGGGAGCTGACCCACACATCATGGGGTGTTCAGCAGCATCCCTGGCCTCTTCCCACTAGATGTAAGTAGCACCCCATGAGCTGTGATAAGCAAAATGTCTCCAGATGTTGTCATTTGACCCCTGGGGACAATATTGCCCCCCAATTGAGAAACCATTAATTTGGGTAATATATTTAGCAGTTGCTTTAAGAAATAAATCAGATAACTACAGGCATTGTGGGGAAGCGAGTATATAACCAAGCTGGATCTGTTATCTTAGGATACTTTAACTCACTTTTCCTTTGGCTCATTGCCTTAAAGCGATGCGTGTTGGGCGGGTGGTGTGTGTTGTGTAGCTGTGGGAACCACTGTCTTTGTTGCTTGTGGTGAATTAATGACGGGAATATCTAAGCAGCCATCAGCTTCATAAATCACTAGAAATGAGAGGGATAACACATAAAAGTCTTTCCCTTTTGTTTAGCAATTTATCATTTTGCCTACACATTAATAAACAGAGCTCCCCTGAGGTAAGCCCTTGGAAGATAAATATTTCTCCCTAATTTCCTCAATTGTAGCCAGTAGATCACAAGTGGGAGGAGAGGTACTTGTCATCGGAAGTTGCCACTTCTTACCCTTCATTTCTTCCTCGCAGGCGAGCGGCAATAAATAACGGGTACGGCAGGTAATCGGGTTCTGTTTTGTTTATTAACAGGCACCAGGTTCCCCAGCCCCAGGCTGTCAGCCAGGCCAAACCGAAAACGCACGCTGTCTATATCACCACTGTCCGATCATAGCTTTGACCTTCAGACCATGATAAGGACGTCTCCCAACTCCTTGGTCACAATTCTCAATAATTCCCGCAGCAGCTCTTCAGCAAGTGGCTCCTATGGTCACTTATCTGCAAGTGCAATCAGGTATGTATTTTCCCGAAGCTGTTACGTGTTTTCTTTAATAAAATATTAGCTCTGGACTGCACCTGGATTTGCAGAACTGGCTGCCGGTGAGGACGGATACAGCAGCGTGACATGAGGCCTGACCCAAGAAGCAGATCAAAGGTCACTATGCTGAATTCCAGATCCAATTATTGGGCCCAGAATATTTTTTTCTGTAGACTTTTAGTCAGTAGCCCATATATAGAAATAGTAGTTATTTAGTTATGATGAAATTCATTTTATAAAGACTATGAATAGGGCAAATCTTTTTATCCCAGCCCCTGTTATTGATTATAGTTCTGTAGTGGAAAAACTGACTTCATACCTGGTTATTAGAAATAGTTTTTTCTCTGCTAATTCCTGTCCCTAGAAATTAAACTGCCATTGGAAGAGGTGTTTCAAATGGCCCTCATTTCCTGCAGGGCAAACATAAATAGAATAAAGAAATTAGTAACACATTCATTTCTCACTTTCAGTTTAATGGCTAAAATGAAGATGGTTTCATATCCTTAGTAGTTTTAGGTCTGGCACGGCCAGGATAGAGACCTCAGTGCCATTGAGAGCTCTGTGCCCAGAGCTATGTCAAAAGCAGAAGTCAGTGTGGGTTTCTGTTTTCAGCACTGACCAGCTCTGCCTGGTAAGCGGGGGGCAGGTTGTGTTTTCTGCTTCATGTAGCATCAGCCCTTTCCAACAACAGGAGTGAGGACATACCTGGCAGGTCCATTGCCACTTCCTGAGGCAGAATAGGAATGAGCTTGGCCTCCAAAGCAAGGTGGTTCTGCACCCTTGCTGTAGTCTACACCTTGTTGTATGTTGAAGAGACAATGCAAAAGTGAGTTGGGGGGGGGGGGAGATACTGAGTAATAGAGGGATACAGCGCCAAATTACCAATGTCCTCAAAGCTCTCTGAGAGCATCTTCTAAGGATCACAAGACAACCTTCTTTCCCCCCAGGGTCAGTGAAGGTGATTGATCTTAACTAAAAAAGGTAGTTTTCATTTATTCCCAGATGTGGTCATTACTTTCATATATTACTTCATTCAATCAGTTATTTGTTCCCCAAATACTTAACTGCATATTCATCTGTGTGCTTGTCACTGGGCTGGTCGTAAATGAGAGACATGGCTGGCGTCCCCACAGAACCCACAGTAGGGAGGAGCTTCCGGTCAGACATGAATGAGTGAGTGGAGCAGGTGAGGCCCTGAGTGGGAAGTGTGATGGATGAGGGGCCGTCAGCAGCCCAGGGCTTCCGATGGCAGTCAACACAGGGAAGGCTTTACTTACACCAAAACACAAGGTTGGAGGTGGGCAGGGACCAGGCTGTACACTGTGCCCTGGACCACGGATCCAGGAACAGGAGGCTGCATTGTTTTTGGGGTGAGGGGCTGATGCTCGGGGAGGTTAGTGGGCTGAAGCAAAGGCACTCAACTACTTATGGGGCAGAATCTAGTGAATCTAACTTTGAACTTCCTCTTTATTTTTTTATTGTTGACACTGTTGCACATGTCCCCCACCCCTGCCCTTTGCTCATCTCCACCCAGCCCTCCACCTTTCCCCCCATCTGGCCATCATCGCACTGTTGTCTGTGCCCATGGGCTGTGCGTAGATATTCTGTCGCTAATCTCTCCACCTTCTTTCTTTCTGTTCCCCAGGCCATACTTCCTTCTCTCTTGACTGAAAGGATTGGCAGGAAATACCATTTACAACAGAGAAATAGTATCTGATGATGTTTTTAAAGATTATGTTATGCTTGTACTAATGTGGTTTTCTTAACCAATGCTTCAAGGCAGGTCTCATTGGAGAAATCTTTATAATCCTGGAGGGTGTGCCTGCTGGGCTGTTGAGTGGCAAGTAACTTTTACAGCCTTTAGAACACTCTGCTCATGTAAAACCCAATGAATTTCTGTCTAAAGCATCATTCAAAAAGTGTGTTTCTCAGTGAAACGTTCGGGTCGTCCTTGTGTTGTGAGCGTACAGGCCTTTGTGTGCTCATTATGTCTGTTGAGACTGCCTGTTTTCCTAGGATATGTTGTGCCTGGTAACTTTCATGGATGGAAGTGGAAGCCTTATTTATTTATTTGTTCTTTTCAGGTATCAGCACATGCACGTCAAGCGTGTCCCTAACTTACCCATACACCAATAATAATAGCTGTCCGCCCATTCTCTGCAAAACTGGAAAGAACTGGCCTTACTTTGAATGGCAGTGGCTGTGCCATAAATTCCACAGCTGTAACCAGAAAGTGGATGGCCTCATTAGTACAAAGCCAGAGAGTTGGTTTAGATTAGAATTTTTCTCCTCGCCCCTTCCCCCACCCCCTTCCTCTCTCTACTCCTCTTGAAGTCGGTTTCTTAGATTATGGGGCCTTCATGTTCTCCCGGTGTTGCCTGTTGCCTGATTTCACCTCCGAAGCTGGTTTCATGAGCAAACCATTGGGAGAGAGATGAGATACTGAAAAGTAAATGTTGGCATTGGATCCTTCAGCTACAGAAAACAGGCTTTTTCTGCAGCATGAAGCTTCTTATCATGCCCTGACCTACAGTGATACATCAAAAAAGGGTCGCGTGAGTTTCTTTTAAGGGTGTTTTAAAAATTCACATCTGAATGAAATTTAACAACCAGGGTAATTGAAAAAAAATATTTTTATAGCTAGAGTTGATTTTACATTTAAAACTAGACATTTTTTTAAGACTCCAGAGGGGCCACATATTCTTTACGCTTCCCCTTGGGTAGGAGATGGCGCCTCTGTGGGGGGGCCTTCCCAGTCCTGCCTACTTCTGGCTCTGCTATGGCCTAGTTCTTGGGCCTGGTCAGCTTGGTCAGGCCTACCCTGTCATGTTGGGGTTCAAGAGATGAACCAGCAAACCGATGATCCTCTCTTTTGAAGCAAATATAAAAAAATGTGGGAGTATTTACTCAGTTACCACGGCCTCCCTCACCCTTTCTCCACATGTAGTGCACATTAATGCAAAGGAACCCTAGCACCTCGACTCGGTGGAAGTGAGATTTCCATGGCAACTCTAAGGGGAAAACTATTATCTTAAAGAAGCGTTAAAAATGCCATGTGGATTGAAGTCATTAAACTATAAAATCGAGCCTTTCACCTTTAAGTGTGCAGTGGCTGGGTGATCCAGCCTCTTGCCATGTTTCTTATAGTTGCTCAGTTTGTTTGTTTTTAATTTGTATTTGAAAACAGACCTCTTCAATACTGTAATCAACGCTCTTTACTCTTCCCACATAAGGGGCTGCAGCAGGCCAAATTATGCTGCTGCGGTTCTTGTGCATTAAGTTACCCAGCATAGTCCCTCCCTTCCTGCCCGCTCCACATATGGAATTCCCAAAGTGATTTTTAAACACATTATGGTCTTGTTCCATGTGCTATTTTAACTGGGTTTTATTTCTTTGACTCTGGATGACTTTGAAGTGCCTATGTACATAGTAGGGCTGAATAAATGTTTAATTATTTTCTAATATATGAACTGTTAAGTGTCCCCACTTAGATATCATTCTAGGAATTAAATAGAGATTTTATTTTATTTACAGATTGACCACAAGGGTTTCTGTACTAATGTTGAACTCACATCACTTCCTTGGTTGGAAAAAAATAATGTTTCTTGTCAAAGTCAAATGTGATTAGAGACTTCAAAGTTTTATGTATTGATGTCAATTAATACATAACTTTCCAGCTACAAATAATTATTTTACAACATGGACATTTAAATGAGATGTATGGAAAGTACTCGATTAAAACTTGCTGAATTAATGAATGATACAGTATGTGGATTTGATGGCATTTATTGTAGTTACATAGCATCCTTACTTTCTACTTATACCCCAGATTTTAACCTAATTGGGGATAATTGTTGAGATCCCAAGACGGAAATTATCTAGGCAAGTGAGGTGTTACAGTGCTCTTAACTGTGATATTAAGAAATAGAATATATCAAAACTTTCTTAAAAGATTCAGAGTTTGGGAATTTGAATTTTAAATCTTTGGAAGTAGAACAACTGGCTCCCACTCTCTTTTAACTAATCTCTGAGCTAAATTTGAAGGGGGAAGTGACTGTGAGTAGTTATCTTGACTTAGATGTGCTCAGAAAGAACTCTGTGCTGTGACGCCACAGGCAGGGGGATGCCTCTTTAAAGTATTCTATCAAACAAAAATCTGTAACCATTCATCTGTCCTGAGGGATACAAATTATATTTGGTGATGAGGGTACCACACACATAGTCAGGGATCTGAAATCCACCTTTTTTTTTTCTTCTCTAAAAAAAATAAAGGGCAAATTCGCATTTGGGTTAATTTATACTAGCTTTATAAATGTTGTCTCTGAAGAGTGTTTTTAAAAAGGTTTTACAAGGAACACTAGTGTCTAGAAGCTCTTCCAGTATGGCTGTTCAGCGTATCTGTGTGGGACGTTGGGGGCACGTGTGCACATTATAATGCTCCGCACTCAGGACTGTTGAACCCTAGTTCCTCAGACCTCTCGGAACTTGCCACTTCTTTTTCTTTTTCTCCGTAACACTTGCTTTTGGATTGTTATCCTTGGAGACCTGGGACCATCTTAGTGCATTGTTAGGAAGGTCTGGGCCACCTGACACTTTCTTTCTAGAGATTTTACGGTCTAGACATAGATTAACAGTCATAAGTCACATTCTTACAAATGTTTGTGTTTTTTAAGTTATCCCATCTTTCATGTAGTCATGTAGAAAAGAAGTGAAAACTATAAAAATAGTTTTCTGAATTATGCTTTATAGAATGTTGAGTGAAGAGAATTTAGAAGCCAGAATATAAAGTCAATCTGTACTTAAGCGACCCATAAGGAAGAATAGGGTGAGCGGAAGTGCAAGCTCTGATAGACCTACCTGTAGGCTAGACTCGGTCCTTCTTTCAAGGAGACAGAGATTTTGACAAATTTTCAACAGTACCAATACTCTATAAATCTAGAGAGTTATGGAATAAGTGCATGAACCCTCTAGGAAAATTTTTTAGGGCTTCTAAAGATATAATTTACTTTTTAAAAATTCTGACCTCTGTAATCAACAAAATTTATATCAGCTGCTGAGGTTCTGTAGAAAGAAGTGAATCTAGACACGAGCTTTGTTTTATGTAATACTGTTTTGCAGACATGCTGTCAAATTGTACTTTTCAGAGAGAAAAAAGTTTTTCTTTGAAACACAATTCTGAGTGTGGTAGACAAAATAATGACTTCCAAAGATGTGCATATCTTTTTAAATATATATATATATATATTTATTGACTTCAGAGAGGAAGGAAGAAGAAGGAGAGAGAGAGAGAAACATTAGTAATGAGAGAGAATCATTGATTGGCTGCTTCTTGGATGCCCCACACTGGGGATCGAGCCTGCAATCCAGGCATGTGTCCTGACTGGGAATTGAGCCATGACCTCCTGGTTCATAGGTCGACGCTCAACCACGTCAGCTGGGCAAGATGTGCTTGTCTTAATCACTGGAACCCATAAACCTTACCTTTGGTGGTGAAAGGAATTTTGTGCCTGCGATTAAGTTAAGGATTTTGAGATGAGGAGGTTATCCTGAAGTGTTCAGGTTACCCTAATGAAACCATAAGGATCCTTATAATATGGAGACAGAAGGTGAAGGTCAGCCGAAACCGGTTTGGCTCAATGGATAGAGCGTCGGCCTGCGGACTGAAGGGTCCCAGGTTTTATTCCAGTCAAGGGCATGTACATTGGTTGCAGGCACATCCCCGGTGGGGGGTGTGCAGGAGGCAGCTGGTCGATGTTTCTCTCTCATCGATGTTTCTAGCTCTCTATCCCTCTCCCTTCCTCTCTGTAGAAAATCAATAAAAAATATATATATTTTTTAAAGAAGAAGGTGAAGGTCAGAGGGAGAGGAGACGGTCAAAGCCATGTGGGACTACGGAGTCCAGGTTGCCAACAGCCTGTGGGAGCTGGAAGAGGCAAGGTGCCTATAGACTCCAGAGGAATGCAGCCCTGCCGAGCTGTTGGAGACTGACCCCAAAGCTGTGAAATAATAAGCGTGTGTAGTTTCAAGCCACTAAGTTAGCGGAAATTTGTTTTAGTGGCAACTGGATATTAATACGTTGTGAGAGCAGTTTAGTCACTCTTCTCAGAGTTGAGTGCCCGCTATGTGCCAGGCAGTGTTCCAGGCACCGGGGGTCACAGGGGTCAGCAGGGAGCAAGACTGAGCAGCCGCTAGTGCCCCCTCCCACCCCCCACCGCACTTAGACCTTACATTACTATGAGAGTGCCTTGTGCTGCTGTGAGAATGAAAGTGTCAAACAATAGAAAGTGATTGGGCCACGCGCTGCAGAGGGGCTCATTTCGTTGTGTGCGTGGGAGCGGGGCACTGGTCTCTGGGGGCCTCTCTGAGGAGGTGACATTTAAGCTAAGAGCAGAGTGATCAAAAGGAAGCAGCCGTGCTGACTTCCAGAAGGACAGACACAGCAAGTACTGTGTGCAGAGCGACTCAGGAGGCAGAGCTTCTTAGGATGACAGCTCCCCAACAGTTAGGGCCACAGAGCAGGAAGTCCTCGAGGTTCTTTGCATACACATGGGAGGGGGGACCTCCTTGCCCAGCCACTGCCCACCCTCTGCTGCTTCCTAACAGAACTTGGTCCAGAACCCCACTGTCTGCTCTGAGAGCGGGAGGAGCCTGGGCTCTCAAAACCGTGCCCTGATGCTGTGACAGTCAACAATGTCTCTTCCATGATCACATTCTAAATAGCCTTTGTAATCTCAGCACCTTGAGGAGCCAACGGCAGCACCCGCCCTTCTGGTCTGAGCCCAGGCCTCCTCCCGCTCTCAGAGCAGACAGTGTCTCACGAAGGGGACGTTTTCTGTTGCTGGCTTCTTAAGAATAAACAGCGAGAGCTGAAAATCACCCGTTCCTTCTGTACGTTCTCTATCTCTTGGAATCTTACCAGTTGACATGGGTTTTAGAGAATGTTTATTCCTGTCACCTGGCTTTACCAGCAAAATAGCAGCCCAGAAAGAGAACATGGCCCAAATGTGTTGTGAGCTTTTGCATCCCTTTCCTGTGTGTCTTCGGGAGTCCGAGAAGGTGCAGCTCAACATGACTGGCTTTCGTCCTGTTCTTTCATCTTCTCTGCTGCATCTTTCGAAAAGTAAAACTACTCACCCTGTTTGGCCACTCATTGTAAAATGAGTGCAGTTTCTGCCTTGTGAAAAGTATTATTTAATAGTCTTGATTCTTCATTAGGTCCTGACTTTTTGAGCCCCCAAATATCCTGCCTTCTAGAATTAGAATAAGTGACCGCAGGGGCCCCATCCCAAGCCCCCTTCCTCTGCCCCACCCCCCACCGCCGATAGCATAGGCTCCGGAAACTCTGGACAGGTGTATGGAGATTTCTGCAAAGTCTGTGTTAAATTGGAAATGTATGTATGAAGGGGTCTTTTTTGTTTTGTTTTGTTTTGTTTTTTAAATGAATAGAGTAAGGTAGTTACACTTGGTAATACCCATTCACCAAAAGGAAAGGGTGTGTGTTAAATCATTGTGTTTTTTGATGAATGGCTTGTACACTGAAAAATAAATTGGACAAACTGGCATAGAGCTCAGTGAACATGAAATCAGCTATTAGAAGAAAGCTTGTGAACAAATTCTGAGGCAGATATGCATCTTTTGATTAACGCCCTATCAATCATCCGCACAGCTACCTTCGCTAAGTCTTGCTGTAATCATTCATGGTTGCTTTCGGAAACACTGGCAGAAACTATAGTGCTGCAGAAACGGAATATTATTACTGATTTCTCCCTAACTTACTGTGAACAATGACTGTTTTCACCATGTTTCTGCTTTCCTTTATTACAGAAATAGAATACAGAATGAAAGGAGAATTCCTCCCAGCCTGGTGAAATTCTCCTAGGGTATTCTTAATGATATTCGGCTTAAATGGGCAAGCTATTGTAATGTGAGGTTCTCTGAAGGAATAATAGTAATGTAATCCCATTGAAGTCGCCTTTTATAGATTGTAATCAAATGGGCAAAATGTGGAGTCACATTAATGAACAGAGTATATCTTCAAAATTATTGCTTAAAGTTGTTGAAATGGTTTGAATTTTGTTATCATAATTATTATATTCTCTGTTAATGTGCTTAACAGCAATAGTAATTAACCCACCAGATTGTAAATTTGCATGAATTCTACCTCTGACATTATAAGAAATCCTGATTCTTCCTGAGTATTATACAGCAGGATGGGGGAAATATATATATATATAGAGAGAGAGATACATATTTTTTTCCACTGATTGTTTTTCAAGAAAGACATTTTCATGAATGCACTTATAATTTTTACGTGCTTTTAAGCCATTGACAAAATTCCTCAAGGGCACTTCGTTCTCTTAAGAGGATTTGATTCCTAAACTACGCTGGCATGGAAGATAATTTGGCACTGCCTACAAGTCTTTAGGAAATAGCACTGTTTCCGAAAACTTCTGCAGCCTGGGAAATTCTGTGGCATAATAAAGCGGTGACAGGCATTAGCATGCATAATGGGCTTTAATAGACATTTAATGCTGTTTAACTGGGAGAGGGAGCTGTTCCCTCCCATTGGAATATTCCTCCATCAGAGCCCATTGATCACCGATTGCGCCCAGGAGAGGTTAATCCATCAGCTTCCGTAACCAGACGGCACTGATGGAAGTCCTTTAGGTGGCATTCTGGATGAACCAAGCTCTCCATCTTTGCAAACAAATGAGTGATATGACAAGCGCGGTGTTCAAAACACATTTAACCAATTGATTTTCTTTCCTCTTGTAATAAGATCGGGAGACGTATGAAAGCGCACAGCGTGAGCCAAGATTAAAGGCGTTGCTCCATGCACAGGAACATATGGGATGGAGAGCCAATAAAAGGACTATAAAGCTTGTAGTCACCCATTCTCTCTCTCTCTTTATATATATATATATATATATATATATATATATATATATATATATATATATATATAAAGTTTGTTATTGCAATAAATAGCTGTTATTGAGCTCTTGCCTTTTGTTTCGTTTTACTGGATCTTATTTCAGGTGTGTGTGTGTGTGTGTGTGTGTGTGTGTGTGTGCGCGCGCGCGCACACAGGCGTGTCCTGCCATCTTTCTCTTGGAAGTTCTCAAGATGTTTGGCAGCCATTGTTTTCACCTTCTAGTGTAAACAGACGGACCTGGTATGATTTGAGGTGGTCCAGCCAGCTGTCAGGTGTCCACAGGGGCTGTTGCATCGGTCCCCAGGCTCCGTGTAATGGTGGTCTCCCACTCTTCGTTTCTCCCGCAGCCCTGCCCTGAGCTTCACCTACCCTTCTGCGCCTGTGTCGCTCCACGTGCACCAGCAGATCTTAAGCCGGCAACAGAGCTTAGGCTCGGCCTTCGGACACAGCCCTCCGCTCATCCATCCTGCCCCAACATTCCCAACACAGAGGCCTATTCCTGGGATCCCCACGGTTCTGAACCCTGTCCAGGTCAGCTCTGGCCCTTCGGAGTCCTCACAGGTGAGAGAGAGACAGCTCGATGAGCTGGTCGGTCTTTGTAGAGGAGAGCTGTGCCACCGCGCTGGCTCTTCATGGGCACAGTGCCCTGGCCTCCTCAGCACTTCCCTACTCCATGCAGCCTGTCTTGCAAACTCAGGGCTGTGGTCTTCTGGCTGAATGAATATGCAGTGTATGTGCTCCTCCAAAAAACAGCAGCTTCTTCCACCAGTGGAAATGTGGCTGCTTGATGAGGCTTCACTCTGAGCCGGTGCTGTCTGTACCCCCCCTTAATAGAAATGCATTCGGGAATGTGTGGCTCTCATTTGGCCACAGTCCACAGGCGCTTAACATTGTGTGATACTCCAGAGTACGAATAAAACTGTTCTTTTCTCCACACGGATCATGCCGAGAGACGCTTCTGATGCCCTAATTGAAGAACTTGGCAAACAGTTCGTATTGGTTTCCTACCCTCCTCACAGCTTTGTTCCTTTGGAACCTGTTAAAGTCCAGGCCCTAGTTCCATTCTTCTAGCTTTTTTTAACTATTTTTTATTATTATTTTCTTTATATGGTAAGACATCATTGATTTATTTTTTTAATATATTTTTATTAATTTCAGAGAGGAAGGAAGAGAGAGAGAGAGAGAGAGAGAGAGAGAGAGAGAGAGAGAGAGAGAGAGAGAAACATCAGTGAAGAGAGAGAATCACATTGATTGGCTGCTTCCTGCATGCCCCCCACTGGGGATTGAGCCTGCCAACCAGGGCATGTACCCTTGACTAGTATCAAAAACCTCAGGTTGATGCTCTATCCACTGAGCCAAACTGGCCATGGCTACTCTTCTAGCATTTGAAAGTCTAGGGCTGTGGTCGGCAAACTGCGGCTCGAGAGCCACATGCAGCTCTTTGGCACCTTGAATGTGGCTCTTCCACAAAATACCATGGCCTGGGTGAGTCTGTTTTGAAGAAGTGGCGTTAGAAGTTTAAGTTTAAAAAATTTGGCTCTCAAAAGAAATTTCAATTGTTGTCCTGTTGATATTTGGCTCTGGTGCCTAATGAGTTTGCCGACCACTGGCCTGGGGAGTTTATACTCATAAAACTAGGAGCTCTCTCCTGAATGTATTTTCTGTTACCATGGTGTTGGAACATCATCAGAGTTGTTCCAGTGCCATACAAGCCTGTTTCTCTCAAGTTGCAGGTTTTAGCAATGGTCCTGCTCATTGATTACAGCCTACTTTTTGTCTCTGTTTCTGCAACGGTGACCGGCAGAACAAGCCCACGAGCGAGTCTGCGGTGAGCAGCACTGGCGACCTGATGCACAACAAACGATCCAAGATCAAACCGGATGAGGACCTCCCCAGCCCGGGGCCTCGGGGCCAGCAGGTGAGGCGCCTGGGCTCTGCACTTGGCGGAAGGCCAGCTACAGAAATGGACTCAGTTTATTTTTCTGGCTCAGAAGCAAACACAACAAGTGCAGGAAGCTGTGTGAGGTATAAACTATGGTTCGTTGAGTAAGTGGTTGGGTTTATGTGTTGCTGACCATCGATGTGACCGGGCTTCAGTCCCTAATCTTCATCTTGGGCCTGAATTTTGAGTTCCTGGTCCTAAACCATTACTAGCTGGGCAGAGCTAGTGATGTTCTCTATACCAGTCATGTTTTTATTCTCATTTTGCCACTTCCCACTTGCCAAGAGAAACTGGGAAACAGGGAGGGATCAGGCACAACCAACCTATTCTAAGGCTACTTAGATTCCAGTCCTTTACTCCAATCCTGAAAGGCTGGGGTTCTCTGAGCCTCGTTTTAAGAGGTGTTTCTCACCTCCTGGGGTCCCCAGGCCTGACACAGGGAAGAGGTCAAGGAATATTGATTCCCAGAAATAGGGGTTGGACAAGAATCTGGACATCCACAGAATCTGGATCTTGTTATGGCTAGGCCGCTTGAGCCCAAACCTCAGGCCAGGTCTTGCAGCCCACATTTTTGTTTTAGTGACAAGCTCTTTGAAAATAGAATGAATGGGTGTCGTTGGTTCTGAAATTCATCCTTTTGCATTTTGCTAGTCAATATCCTTTCTGGTCACACCTCAATGCTTATGTAGTTTTTCTCATCTAGCCCCAAATTAGAACTCGAATCTACACACCTAATTGTCTCCCAGAATTCTAGAAATTATTTGTATTTAAATTGCTACAAAGCTGCTTAAAAGACTAGGAAAGACTGTACCCATCCCTTCCCCCCCAGTCCCCAAGCATTAGATGCCATGGTTCTGGGGCAGAGAGTGCATCATTGGACATCAGAAGTTGAACCAAGAAGACATTATTCCTATAAAATTCACAAAGTGCCTCTCTTAAGAGCAGCCCCCAAGGACAAGGAAAGCAGAACTAGAATTACTGGTAATCATTTTCCTGGATTCCAAAATATGAGAATAAACAAATTAATATACTGAAAAGAATTTAACCAAAAGAGAAAGACTGGTCTTTTGGGTAAAGATGACATCACCTAGTTTAATTGCTTCTCTTATGGGATGACATTTTTGGTTGTGTTTTTTTCACCGTTGTTCAAGGATAGCGGAATTTGCCTCAACTTCTTATCAATATTGTGGTCTGGACTGTTGTCCTTAATCAAAGTGAATAATCTCTGAAGGTGTGTTTGATTACTCTGAAAAAATACACAGAAATGATTCCATATGTTTGACTTCTTCCATTCACAAAAACTAATTAACAGACCCTGGACTGTTTATTTTCACCGAAAAATTTGCATCCGGAGGAAAACATCCAAATCAAGTTTTTGTCTTTTTCTTTTTTCATTGTCTAATTTTTTTTTTCTTCTTTCTTTCCCTCACCTATCAGGATCAGCCGGAAGTAACCACCCTGGTGAAGGAGGAAGGGGACAAAGATGAAAGCAAGCAGGAGCCTGAAGTCATCTATGAGACCAACTGCCACTGGGAAGGCTGCACACGGGAGTTTGACACCCAGGAGCAGCTGGTGCACGTAAGTGAGAGAGAGATTTGCCAACTGGGCTTTCCAACTACGTGACCTTTCTGCGGAATCAGCTTCCCTGACCCTGCCCTGCGTCGAGTTTCTTAGCTAACAGTGTTCCGAACTGGAGAGCCCTTTATGACTTTCTGAGAATAAAGAGAACTCGGAGCCCCGGTGCTTGACCTGTGCAGTCAGCTAAAGCTTAGTGTAAAATCCAATAAAGTCTTCAATAGAGAAGTGTAATGACTCTGATCCTGTAAGTCAGAGAACACTATTTTGAGTTAGTGACTTGGATGATTATTGAGTAATAGTACACTGGACATGAATTATTATTAACCTTTAACTAAGTTTGAGTCTCCTCTCCAAGAGTAACAACAGAAAAAAAATTGTAGAAGTGGGGGATTCCTTTTTTTTTTTTTTTTTTTTTTTTCTTCCCTCCATTTTACTTTCCTCTCCCAACCCCTCAGCACCTCAGGAATCTCCCATTGTTTTATGCAGCAATTAGTACTGTGTGTGAGATAGGTGGATGCTTCAGGCAAGCCATTAGCAATTTCTTGACTTGAGGCCAACCCTTATAAGCCTAATAGTTCCATGGAAAAAGAGATGTGTATTGTGCAGTGATGTGGATTGTGCTTAATGATGTCTGCTTTTGAGAGCTGTAGCATGGTCCCATTGAGAACTACACCTTCTCTTGCCATCCCAGGCTCTGAAATCTTTTCCTCTATTCCCCTGTGTACTGTTTCAAATACTGCAGCCCTCCCCACCCAGTTCTCATACCTGATAAGCCACGTGTCCTTTGCCAGTGTTTCATTTTATTTGGCATTTTTCTCTCAGGCTTGCAGAGTCTCCCAGGCAAATGTGACCAGGAGCAATGGAGATGGAAGGGCTTTTAGAAAATCAAGGAAAAAAGAAGAGGTAGCACACATGCTCAGTGCAGAAAGACAGGGCCCTGTGGAAGCATGGAGGATGGTTTACTAAGTGTGGCAGTTTCCTAAGCTTTTAATCTGATGGGAAATCTGACAGGACAGCTTTTGTTTCGACTCCCTAACCTCCATATGCACACTCACCCTCTTTTCTTCTCTAGTAACTTTTCATTTTTCAGTGATCCATGGCTCTTGGTAACTCTCCTCCATTTCACCACTGAAATGATCAAATTCCTCACACATCCCACATGCCTGATGGGCAGCTCAATGAGCCTTTGAAGTGTGTCTTCTGCACCGTGGCCCGTCCTGGGGAATCTGTTTCACACATTGCAGTTACATTATCGTGTTAAATGTATGATTTGCCGGTTTTGCGATGGGTTATGTACAGATTGTTTTTGGGGATTTAACATGACCTCAGCAGGGTTATTCCCCCTGACCCCCTTGTGTCTTTTTCAATCCTGTCTCCTCGTAATGGTATAGGAAGAATTATAGATTTCTCAGCATAGCAAGAAACCAGAAAAATCAGATGGTTTTAATTAAGGTATATTTCCAAATTTTTCCATGAACTTCATTTATTTTTTTTCCTCTTTAATTTGATGCAAGTGTTACTTTTAAGCCAAGCCTGATTTAATGGCCCTTTATTCTTGCTGACTGTTTTTAATGGAAACCACAGACATTGTCATACGAAAGGGGGGAAAGAGGTTTTGAATTTTTATTTTAATCTGGAGAAATATTCCCCAAAAGGAGAGTGTGCCAAGAACACTCTGAGCGATATAATGAGTGCCCGATGTAAATGAGGGGATTGTTCCGGTAACAACTGCCATCAGAACCTAGACACTGGCAGTGTTGGTTAAAATGTCCTTGTGAGAGACGCCCCCGTCTCCTGGCTCCTTGTCTGTGGATAAGTCGCTGTAGTTCTCAAGGAGTGCTGTGACTGTGGGTCAGCCGTTTTCAAATCGAAATGAAATAAGAGCCTAACTTTCAATAGGAGCCTACCTTTCAAAGGGAATTGTGGTGGCTCAGCCAGTGTGGCTCAATGGTTGAGGGTCAACCTTTGAACCAGGAGGTCGTGGTTCGATTCCCGGACATGGCACATGCCCAGGTTGTGGGCTCGATTCCCAATGTGTGGTGTGCAAGAATTACCTGATCGCCGAGTCTCTCATCATTGCTGTTTTTATCTCTCTTCCCCCTTCATCTCTGAAATCAATAAAAATATATTAATAAAATGAAATAAAGGGAATTTGTGCTGACTAGAGGCCAGCACAAACTTAAACTTTGTGCTGCCTACTGAACAGGAAGGCTATTTCAAACCAGTGAATATAGCAGGTTTTTGTATTTCATCTTAGTGGTGGAAGGTTTTAGGCAGTGATGCTGTTTCTAACAGATCTGAGTAGTTTTAAGGGAAGGTTGCTTATACTATCAATTAAATGACCACCATGTTTTCTGTTTTATTATAAACACATGAATGAATACAGTAATTTAAAAAAAAAATTCCAAATAGCTAGAAGAAATTCATCTCAGAATTAGAAGGAAAGTTAATATATTATCTTAGTGACATTAATTTTAGTCTGATAAATTATATGATTAAATAAACTTGTTGAGTGAATTAAAATTGGTAACTGACAACAGCATAAAGATATTAGTTTATATTACTTATTTGCTACCTTTTTACTTGTGATGTGAAGTGTGAAGATTCCAAATCCGTGTCTTTAAACTGATTTTACTTTGCATTACATAAAAGCACCTTCATACTCCTGAGTGTATCTGGTAGCATTTACAGTGGCTTGGTGCATAGAATAGGTGCTTTATTTTTTGTTAAATGAGTAGATACTTCAAGTTTGCCTAATTATGGTACTTTGATGGTAAATGGAAATAATATCGCTTGCAAAAGCCACTTTTTTTTTTTTTTTTTATAACAGGAAACATTAACAGGTTTCGTTCTTATGGCTTCCCTTGGCGAGAGGACATTCTTTGAATTAGTTGAATTTTCATGGTACATACAACCAAGAGGCAAGGTGTTAAACCATTCTGATGCCCTGCCATATTTATAGCCATGGCCCATTCTTTTTCCCCCTCGTACAGTTAATAGAAAGATTCATGATTCTTCATGGTTGTCTATCTAGTGTCTGACAGTCCCGACTGCCTGCTAAAGCAAGTCACTATCTATAATTGATATCCTTCTGTGGAATAGGGTGCCGGCTGCAATTGAAGGGCTTTGCTGAAAGCTCTTAAATCCTGACAAGTTCTCCCCTTGTTCTGGTTCAGTCGCTGAGCTGCACGGTTGGAATTCCAGAGTCATTTGAACTTAGTGCAAAAGGGAGACATGTGTTTCACATTAGCAAATCACAGAGTTGAAGGAGAATTAGGGAATTGGCTGACTCTGCCCGCCAGGTAGTCTCATTTCCAGGGTAATGCACTCCATGTTCTCTTGAAAAGATTACCTTGTCCCATTACTGTCCGAACAGATGGGCTAAATATTGCCTTTCCCTTCTCCTCCTCTTTATTTCAAGGCCCTGTCTTTCTCCCAATTGTGTGTGTATGCTACTTTTGCTGTGGGGTCTTTATCTCTGGATGTTTAATTAATTTCTCTTCCCAGCAAGATCATTATAATTGGGTTTAGTTACTCTCAAACTAGTATTAAAACTGTCATAAATGTACTTCTATGCCCAGAAGCTATAAAGATAGATATACATTTTTATTAAGTAGGTTTGTGTTGTAGTTTGTTCCTCTCTTGGTATCAGTTAAAATAGCAGGCAACAAGAATGTGAGATATACAGAACAAATCTTAATTAATTTAAAGTACCTTTAATTAAGACTGCATTTATTACTGATTTGTTAAGATGCAGGCGCTGTCTCTTCCCATGACACCTGAAAGCACATATTCTAACATTCCCAAATAAATGGAAAACCCACATTTTTACATCAATCCTAAGTTGTTTGGACCCTCTTTTTGCTGTTGTGCATTATATATTACAAAAGTCATGAATCTTACATTTACATTTGTTGAATAAGCTGCTCTCAAAGTATTATTTCTATTTTGTGTGATTGGGTTGAGCTTTCGTTATTCAGCAAAACAACTCAAATCTGTCTTCTGGCCTGGCTTCTCACAGGTGCAAGGGCTTTCTGATTCTTGCCTGTCCCTCTTGTGTTAATCCTGTCCTGCCAGTCACTGCATCTTGGGTGAACGAGAATCTGAATTGCACACAGCATGCACACACATTAGTCTCAGATTCTTGGAAACTGGCCTGCTTTGTTTTTGAATGACACTGTGTATATACCACAGGTGTTTTGAGAGGCTTTTTATAAAGGAGAAAGGGAATAAATGTGAAGAATGTGCACCTCATTGTGGGTCGCCACTGCTGAGTGGTTAGTTATACTTGAAAACATGGGTGCTAGGATCTGAAAGACTAAGAATTGTATAATCACAGTGCCTAATGCCACCTGTTTGATGCATTGCTGCAATTCCTTGCCCTCTATTTCTAACCCTCTCTATTGGTTTAAGAAATAACAAATTATCCTACCTAATAAGAGAGTAATATGCAAATTGACCATCACACCAAGACACAAGATGGCCACTGCCATGTCTTCAAAGATGGCTGCCCCCATGTGGACACAAGATGGCTGCCACAAGATGGCCTGCAGGGGAGGGCAGTTGTGAGAAATTAGGGGTGACCAGGTCTGCAGAGGAGAGCAGTTGCAGGGGGAACCAGACCTGTAAGAGAGAGCAGTTGGAGTAACTAGGCCTGCAGAGGAGGGAATACCAGGCCTGCAGGGGTGGGCAGTTGTGGGCGATCAGGCCAGCAGAGAGGTCAGTTAGGGGTGATAGGGCCAATAGAGAAGGGAAGTTGGGGGAGACCAGGCCAGTAGGGGAGGGCAGTTGGAAGGGGGGGGGGGGGAATCAGGCCCACAGGGAGGGCAGTTGGGGGCAACCAGACCTGCAGGGGAAGGCAGTTGGGGTTGGGGGGGGAGGCCTGCAGGGGAGGCAGTTAGGGGTGACCGGGCCAGCAGGGGAGGGCAGTTGGGGAGAACCAGGCCTGCAGGGTAGGGCAGTTGTGAAGCGGGGGGGAAAGGAGGGGGAGACCAGTTCTG